AAACGTGTAGGAAATGAACAATTTCCTCATTCATCACAACGTAATTCTTGAGGCGTAGATTACAAGAACCTCCCCGTGTGCAAACCTGGCTCTGTGTCTCATCCTGTCGTCACTCTTGCCTGCGTCGTATCCTTTTGATGACCCATCTCGAGATAATCATGTGTAAAATAAAGTTAGACCCACCTTTGAGAGGCGCGGCGGACCGCCCCAGCAAAAGACCCCATCAACTGCACTGAAATATCTCTGGGCGATTTGCATGTACTTTGGCGTCATTTGCATGCCGCCTGAGGCCGTCGTCTGGGCGCGCCGTGTACGACTGACAAACACTTTGGAGTGTGCCTCTTGAGTGTTACACACTTCCAGGTGACGGCGGCACATTGCGCAGCACTCTGGGTGGCGCCACTCGCATCTGCTGGCCTCTGAATCCCAATACCAAACCCCAATGTCCAATCGTCCGGAAACGGGCCCCAAGACCCTGACCGCCCCTTGGGAGAGAGAGAGAGAGAGAGAGAGAGAGAGAGAGAGAGAGAGAGAGAGTTCGGAAGGCATGTGGTCGAGCCATAGGTTGTAAGACTAGACGGTGAAGATTGATCGCTGACCGATCGGCATCGAATCAGAGTCCAGAGAGGCGAGGCGAGCTACTGCTGGCTTGGCTACGGCCAGGACCACGAAAGAAAACTACGCGTCGACAGGTGCCGTTTGAATCATTGCTTCCTCCGAACGACTGTTCACTCAATTGTACGAAAATTGCTGGAACATCAGCCTTCTACGTCTTTTCATATAAATCTGTTAAATTTTTTGAGCTCGTGGTACGGAATGTTCTGAAGTGATTTTAATTTTGGAACAGTTTGGGAACAGAACGCACTCTACACAGTGCGGTTGGTTCTCTTCAATTCAAAACAAAGTTTTGCGGGCCGCGGGAATGCCGAGATAAATAGCCGGTCGCTATGAATGGCCTGGTCGTGGTGAGGCCGTCTCTCTCGCTCTCGCTGACACACACACAAACACCTCCGTCCCGTCCCGAGGGAGAACCGTCTGAAACCGTCTGCGGCTTGTGTACAAGACTGTTTCGACCGGTAATTCGATACCCGCTGGTAATCGAGTCGAAGCTAGGCAGGCGGGCCGCAGGAGCGAGAGACTCTGCCTCACGGAGGGCTTCGCGTCGGGTCGAGCTTGTCAGAGTCGCACGGTCTTGCTCTCATCATGATAGTAGGACCTAAGATGGAGAACCGGCTTGGGGCCCCGATCCGCTACGCCACTGCGCGTTGCGACGTGTAACTCCCGTTCAAGAGAACT